AAAAAAAAAATTCTGAAAAAAAGATTAAAATGGCTCCGAGAAATTGTTATGGCACTCTTCTCTTAAAAAAAAAGATTTTTTCATCAAACACAAATCATGCTAAAAATTTGACTCAAATACCAAAAGATAATTTCATAAGAAAAAGTCAGATTGATTTTCAGCTTGTAATTATTTTGAATCAAAATCAAAAAGCAAACTAACAAAGCTAGATCCTCTTGTACTGAAAAGAACAAGCTCCACATTTGATCAAAAAGGTATCATTATGCATGTATGAATGCATAGATACAGATCTAAATGAATATATTTGGCGAGCATGCATGCACATATATATATATATATATATATATATATTAATGTTTGAGTTCTTGGACTACCGAATCAATTTTAGCTGAATTCTAAGGTTTAAAAATAAATGAGACAAGTAAAACTTGAATCAAGATTCGGCAAAATGAGTACAAAGAAACGAAAAGAAATGAAGTTTTACCCGTATCCATATGGAGCATAATATGGAGATGGCATGAAAGGTCTTCTCGGTCGAAACACCATATATGGGTTAGCCCGCCTGCCACGATACTGCTTCATACCCGGAATGTTCGTTCTCTTAGCTGACACCTGCCAGTTCCACATTTAAATATTAAGAACATTGACAGAGTTAAAAAAAAAAGGAAAAAAAATACTGCATTATATAACTTGCACTTGTAACCTTTAACTGACGACCATGCAATTCTGACTCATTTAATAGAAGAGCATTTTGTACGGCCTCTACTTCAACAAATTCAACATAAGCAAATCCTTTGGGCTGGCCAAATTTGTCCGTTAAAATGGTTACCCTATTCACAGTCCCGCAAGACTGGAAATGCTGCTGCACCTCTTCAGGAGTGCAGGAATAATCAACCTGGCAAAAATTCATGAAACTTATCTTTCAATAATAAAATGTGAATTGAAAAATCAGGAGAAATAAAAGAAATGTAAAGCATAAATAGTGAAAGCTTATGTTTTAATAAAATTCTGTGCCTGAACAATTACAATAGATGCATTTAAAAAGCAAATTTAATCACAGACTTTCAGATTGAAACTATTTTTATTTCTGATGATGCCCATCATATCTTCAAAAGCAATCCTTGAGATTATTTTGCTTAAGGAAGATTTACATACATACCACTCAATTCCTATAAATTTACATATCTAACACAGAATTAATTTTTACTTACATAACACTTTACTTGTGCATGAAAAGGTGTGTTACACTTTTCAAGAGTTAAAACGGTTGTATAATTGATGTGATATGAAAATTTTGAGCAGTGGAAATGTAAAAAAAATAAAATAAAATTGGGTGTTAGATATGTAAATACATAGAAATTTGGTGGTATTTATGTAAACGCAACTTTACTTAAATTCGATATAGTTACATTAGAACAGTACTACAACTACTGTCTCTCATTGTATTACTACCAAAAGGGTCTCTAATAAAGCACTAAAAAAATTAAAATTGTTACGAATTCAATATTGATTCCACAACGCACAAGAGGGGTGAATCCTTCCAGTCAACGAAACCAACAATGCTTCCTATAAATTGATGCAACTAACTGCCCAAATAAAACCCTAAGGGAATTAAATTGATGCAACTAACTGCCCAAATAAAACCCTATGGGAATTTTACTTACATACCGCACAATTCTTATGTATTTTCATGATCTAACACCCAAATTTTAATGTTTACATTTCTAACATTTTAGTGTTAGAAACCTATGCACTCTAAGTTGCATTTCACTCTTAAAAAAATAATAATAGTGGTATTTTTAATGCGATGTTAAAGCTTTGAGAAGGTATGGATGTAAATATGCAGTTTCTAATCACACTATGTATGGCCGATGGTATATATTCTTAAAAAATTTCTAATATTAGAAGGCAATGTTTTCAGTGTGAATGGAAACTATAATATTATCTATTGCTTCTCTAATCCTACTCTAAAAATTATTTCGCCTCCAGCATCTCAATCAGACTAAAAGTGCTACATCAAGTTCTATAAAATTATCCACATATGAAAGTAGTTACTACTCTGCATTACATAAAAGAAAGTAGTTTCTCCATTAATTGACACAACTAGACAAAAATCAAGATAAACAACCGATTAACCAAAGATCCAAAGCCTTTGATTAGTAACTACGTCAAACAATGGACTAATTTCAAAATTATGCTTCCCACCACCCCACCACCTGCCCCCCTGAACCAAAAAAAAGAAGATTTACATTCATACCACTTAATTCCTATGCATTTACATATCTAAAACCTAAACTTTAATTTTTACCAATACGCCCGCCTTACCTATGCATGAAAAGGTGTATTAAGCTAAAAAAATGGTATGAAAGATTTTGGAGGTATAAATGTTAAAAGTAAAATTTAGGTGTTAGATATGTAAATACATAGGAATTGGGTGGTGTCTATGTAATGCCCAAAAAAATCTAGAATATAAGGGGTCAAGGCTAAAAGTTCAGCTTTGGCAAAAGAAATGAACAAGTATCGAATAAGGTTTCCTCATATCCGAATTCCACAAGCAACAGAAATATACATTTATCTCTTGTTCACGGATTTTTCAACATGCCATAAATAACCTTCAGAAATTTGTTGATATATCAGTTCATTATGGAAATGAAATCGAAGAATAATTGCTCGTGCCTAAATTCATGAAGGCATGCAAGCTTGCATTGAGAATATGAGGAAACTATCATTCTGTAATTTTTTTTAAACTCACTAGTCATAAAAAAACTGCATATAATGAAACTATAAGACAACTTAAAAAAATATCAAATTAATTAAAAAAAAAAAAACAACTCACATTGCCAACATAGATTGATCGAGAGTCCACCTCCTCTTTCTCAACTTGTGTCGCAGCAGCATTTGATGAATCATCTAGAATTATTCAAAATCAAACAAATAATTAGAAAAATAAAACAGTTAAGTAGCATGCCATATAACAACAGTAAGTAACAGTAATATGAAATGAATAAATTTTCCTATATGACACCTAGCAAAATGGAAATTATAGAATGAAATCTTCGCATAGATTGCATAAAATCATCTAGAAAAGCATTAATATTTCTACATATAATGATTCCCTCTACACATCAAAGCATTACAACACTTCCCAACCTATAGAATACTTTTAAAATACCCAAATGCTCCATGAACATTATAAAAGATAATGAATCAAATTTCTGGCGCTATTTGATAATAAATCTATAAAACTATCAAAAAATTAAGTATGATAAAAAGGACATTATGAAATCCTGTTTTATTTAATTCATATTTGAAGACACTAAGAAAACAATGATTTCAATTTCAAAGATATGAAAAGGAAGAGCAAGTTAGTCTACAAAATGTTATTTCAACTGAACAATTTAGTCTTACTTTCAATACAACCATATGGAAACCACTTTCAAAGTTCTTTCCGACAAATCCCAAGTTTTGATGGCAAAAACAATGCCACTCATCGCCTTGTCTTGTGGGAAATAGATTGTGGATATCAAGGTTTTAAAAACAAAACCATACAATGAACCGGAAGAAAGAGGATTTATTGGTTCAAGTGGGTTGCAACAAATAAAGTAATAAAGATTAAAATTATTTTAATATGATTAAAATAATGTAATAATGATAGCATAATGATATATCAAATTAATAAACAGTCTTTTAATTCAAAACATTCTAATTTTTAATAATTTGAATATGATTCAAAATCAAAATTTTAGGGTATGATATTTTAATTGCTTAAACTATTTTCAATCTAAATGTTTTACATATAACCATTTAATCAAACGATCAAAAAACCAAAAATTAATCAATATTAGAACCAAACAGTTCATTAAAAACTGAATAGGTTCACCAGTTCCATCCAAAAGTGGATTTTTTACATAGGGCAAAACAGCAGGGTAGCCGGTTCACAACTGAACTGGTTAAACCACCAGCCGGTCCGGTAAGCCTTTTTAAAACTAGGTGAATACTCCATTTAATATACAACAAACTTGATCCTTCAATATACATTCACAAACCACAGAGAAAAAGCCTCAACATGTACCAACTTCAAGCATTAGATTTCAAGTGAATCTCTGATAGAATAAAACTGAAACATGTCCAATGTACACTCCAACCCTGCTAAACCGGTAGGCAATTTCAACGGACCAGAAGGTCAGCGCCAACAGTCCGCATAACTTTTAAGAAAAAAAAAAGTTATTCCAAAACAAGGTTTGAAATTAGAGCTCTTAGCATACATAAAATCTAGTTGCAGAAGTACTTCAGAGTTTCAGGGAAGAAAATCACACTGAACACCATTTTTTTTTTTCGAAAGAATAAAAAGATTGACCAACGAGCAGCAGCACAGGTTGCATTACTCACTCCCTACTTAAAAGAAGGGAAGATTCAGATCCCTAACATTCTTTAATCAAAATAGGTAAAACCTAAAAAATCTGCAAACAGATCTCCAGCTGAAAAAAAAAAAAAAATCTATTAACAGTAAACCACAAAATTTCACTCGGTGAAAATTAGGTATACCCTGGTTGGCACCCATTTCTTTCTCAACCCTAGCCTGCATATCGCGGAGTGCACTCGCCTCCTCCTCGATCTCCTTAAGCCTCTTCTTCATGTCCTCCAAGCTCTGCAAGTCAAAGAAGAAGTGAGTCAACTTCACGTACGATAAGCAAGACAAGGAGCAGGAGAGATCAGTGATCTGAGGAGAGACCTCTTTGGAGTTAGGATCGATCTCAGCGATTCCATCGCCGTCAGCAGTGAGCATCTCTTCGTCACCTTCTATGTCGCCGACGTCTGGGATCTCCCCACCATAGACCTCGTGCTCCAGCTCCTGATGCTCATCCATGGCTGCCTCTACCGTTCTCCTACTACGGTTGAAGAGGGGATGGGATTTAGGTTTCTTTTTGAGCAAAGCTGCGGCTACGGGCCCATCCATCCATGGGTTGCATCTAGGTTAAGGCACATTTACGTACACACCATAAAATTCTTATATATTTACATATCTAACACCCACAATTTTGATATTTACATGCATATTACTTGAATCCTTATCCTCACATCAAATATATCACTTTTAAGTGTCATATATGTAAATACATAAAAAATTTTATAAATATGAATATCAAACAATATGTAATGAAAATAATGTTCAAATTTTAACATAATGAAGAAAAAATGTTCTATTAAATTGGAATTAAAAAAAATTATTGAAGTTAAGTTTATTTTGGAAATTGAATTAAACCCAATTGAAATTTTTGGATATGAACCAAAACCAACCATAAATTGAACTATTTCTATAATATTCATCTAAGAATAGGGCTGTCAAAAAAGCTCGTTGTTCTCGAATAGTTCGTGTTCGGTTCGTCAATGAGTCCGTGTTCGATTTGTTAGATAAGTAAATGAGACGAAAGTGAACAAATTTGTTTTGTTCAGTTAGGTAAACGAACCAAACAGGAATAGTGATGCGTTCGTTCGTGTTCAAATCGTCATTGTTCGAAATATAAAATAATTTAAAATAATTATATAAAAAATTTATGATATTTTAAAAAATTAAATTTTATAAATTATAATATATA